TGTTCGGTTTATTAGTAGTGGTGTGGCCTAATGTGTTGAACTTTCAAGTAGGACACATTCTGTAGTTTCTTCACTTAGTCACTGTGTGGCCTAGGGCAAGTTACTTAACCTCTCTGAGCCTCAAATTTCCTTACCTGTAATATTTGGGTGGCTAATAGTTTTTATCTCGGAAGTGAGAGTTTGAGATACTGTAAGATTAAATGAAATACTGTGTGCCTAGCGATTACGAGGTTTAGTGAGTGGAAATTCTCTCCCTGTCGCTTCAGGTCTGTTGGATTAAACTTGGTTTGATACTCTCAGGTATCAAGAAGTAACTTTGGTACCTTGAACAACAGGGTGGCTGAGTTTTTATTCTATAAATTTTGATGACTGTCTGAAATTTGAGACATGGGTTGATTTTCACAGAGATTGAGTAAGGCTTAAGGCTCAGATTTTGGTTAGTATAAATGGATTTTAACATAATTGTGGATTGTAATTTAACATCTCATATATACATTTTGGTGTGTTGAAATCGTTGACATACTTGTAAATTTTGATGTCTCTTATATTTCATTGTATTGATTCATGGTTTGTGGTGTACAGTCTTTTTTTTTAATTTTTAAAAAGATTGTATTTATTTATTTGACAGAGAGAGACACAGCGAGAGAGGGAGAGTGGGAGAGGGAGAAGCAGGCTTCCCGCCGAGCAGGGAGCCCGATGCGGGGCTCGATCCCAGGACTCTGGGACCATGACCCGAGCTGAAGGCAGACGCTTAACGACTGAGCCACCCAGGCGCCCCTGTGGTGTACAGTCTTAACAAAATAGCCTCTGCAGTAGATACTGAATTTGAATTTTCTAGAACCTTTTATTATGGGAGTTTTCAAATAAACCCTAACGTGGATTAGTTTAATGAGTCCTCAAATATTAGCATCCAGCTAGGGATATCAACTCACAACCACTTTTGTTTCATATATTATTCTCTCTTTCCCATTATTTTGAACCACATTCCAGACATCGTATTATAAGACTGAGTTATGGTACATGAAATTTGTCAGTTTGGTCTCCCCCACACATTGGTATGTAGATACATTCTCATTCATCTCCCCTTTTGGATTGAATTTTACTTTTTCATTTTAGATGTAGTCAGCTTTAATTATATCAAGTGTTGTCCTACTTTAATTTTTTCATAGTTACAGTTTTCTTTTCCTCTTTTTTTTTTTTTAAGATTTTATTTGAGAGACAGGCTGAGGTAGCGACAGGGAGAGGGAGAAGCAGGGAGAGCAGGGAGCTCAACTCGGGGCTCTGTCACAGGACCCTGAGATCATGACCTGAGCCAAAGGCAGACGCTTAACCCACTGAGCCACCCAGGCGCCCCTAGGTACAGTTTTCTAATAGTGAATTTTGTGTTGATACATATTTAAAGCTTAAGCTTCCATTACAACCATATCTGGTAGATTTGTCTGGTGACAAGTTTACAAGGTATTTAATCCTATCTCCACTCCTATCTCTGCTACTATCTCTGTTGGATGTTTTAAGAAGAATTTGAAGTGCATTTCTAAGTGCAGATAAGGATTTGAAAAAAAAAATTTTTTTTTTGAGAACTTTTTATAAGTCAGCTCTAACCATACTGTCGAAGCTCCTTAAGCCAATATTGTTTTGTTCAAAATAAGTTGTCCTTCTGGAAGGGCAATTGCTAATACTTAATTTTTTTAGAAAGGCTTAGAAATACGAATTTAGTTAAGTCACAGTCTGGTTTTTCCTGATTTTTTTGTATTTTAAACAATAAGGTCTTATACCCTGTTGGACTTTAATATTTCTGTGGTGTATGAGTATGGGGTGGGGGAGTTGGACTAATTTAGGGCAGTTCTGTTCCATGAATGCATGTGCATTTCATGTTTGAGGTTTCTTGGCTAGAAAAAAGCCAGACCTTATAGGTTAGCATTTTTCCCTCCTAAAGCGCATTGAGCAGGCATAGGTTGAACATTTTACAAAGTGTACAGATAATCTTCCTTCACATTTTAATGATCAGATGGCAGACGTAAGGTAACTGAGCTTAAATTGAATATTAAAAGCTGCATTTAATTTTTCCTTATACTTTTCGTGACTAAATTTATGTAGTTATTTGACTATAAATTTTTTCCTTCGCTTAATTTTTTGGTAATTTATTTCCATATTTGCTTGGAATCTTAGTACAGTATTTGAGCCAGAAGATTTTATATAAAGCTTGAACTAAATTAAATAAAATTGTTGGCATGAAATGGAAGCTAGCAACTTTGAAAGTTTTAAAATCCTTGATAGTTTGGGGAGCATAAATGACTCAACCATATGAGGTAATCACCAGATACAAGGTACCAGTCATTCAAAATGTGTCTTGATGACTAATTAAACACTTTTAGAACATAAGTATTAGGTTCTTGTACCAAATTGGAAATTGAATATCCATGGAGTGCAGTGCATAGCTATTTGAATTATCTTAACCAATGAAAATGAAAATTTGTATGTCTAATTTTTAAAATGTGCTATATATAGGGGCGTCTGGGTGGCTCGGTCGGTTAAGTATTCAACTCTTTATTTTGGGTCAGGTCATGATCTCAGTGTGGTAAGATTGAGCCCTGTGTAGGGCTCCGTGCTCAGCAGGGAGTCTGCTTGAGATTCTCTCTTTCCCTCCCCACCCCCTCCCACCCCCCCTCCACTTTCATGCTTGTTCGCTCTCTCAAAAAAAAAAAAAAGTGCTGTGTGTATTAATTTGAAATTCTGTGCTGTTAATGTTAGGGTTTTGGAATGTTTATTTGAATCCACATATGATTAGAGTATCTTAGAACATGCTGAATTATAGTATAACTCCATCATAATATAACTCTATCCAGCAACTCCATCCTGATTGCCTAGTAGAGTCATCTGGGGGCTTTAAAAATACCAAGATCTGAGACCATTTAAATAAGGGTCTCTGGGCTTAGGGCACTGGCACTGGTAGATTTGAAAAGCTCCGCGGGTGATTCTAAAGTTGAGCTGGGGTTGAAAGCCACTGGCTGGAGAAGACACATTCCAGTACATGTTACTTGCCATGGTTGTCCTCAAGAGGCAAACTGCTCTCTTAAAAGAAGGAATAGCTATTTTTCCTTGCTTTATTTCCAGGAAGGATTCTGGGTCATTTTTTATTAAAGTTGGAATTTTAAGGTTTTAAAGCCTCATCATTAGTCCCTTGGTCCATTAGAGAGGGGAGAGCAAAATGGTTGAACTCTTAGTATATATAAGGTAATTGTAATCAGACCTGACACTTGTTAACTGTTTCCTCTGTGCTAGTCCCTGGGAGGCTAAGGGTTTGACATCTATTATATTACTTAAGCTCCATAATAACTTATAGCAGTGACTGCCATTTTACTGATGAGGAAAGGAAGACAGGTTAAATAGCTCGCATCACCTGAGAACAGTGGGGTGGCAGTGCTAGGTGGTGAGGGTGACTCGGTGCGCCCTCTCCTGTGCTGCCTGACTCCGCACAGTGTTTCCTTAGACATCGGTGCCATGGAACTTACTTTGTTATCTGTTAGAGGAAAATGGCTCCTTTATAAAGGACATTATTTATTATCCAAATGAATTGCAGACAAATAAAAGCTTACTAGCTTTTTATGGATTATTATTTGGGTGTACATTATCTTGAAACTACTTAGTTGCAGAGTCACTTGATGGAATCAGTTGAGGTGGGGTGGGAGAGTGGGGGAAGAGAGGAAGTAAGTTGAGGGGGGGAGGAAAGAAAGAACAGACCCACACATAAGAAAGTAACACAGATTTAATGGTTATTCTTGTGGCTCTGACCTCATAATTGTAAGTGTTGTATGTTGAAAACATGCATTTGCAGATCACTTTAAAATACGAAGTGATTATATTGTGGGACGTAGAATATACACCTAGAGTAGGTGTTATGTGAATGGGATTCTGTATTACACACCTGTTTCCTTCTCAGCCAGCTCTCCTTGGACTCCCTCACCTGGGGCTTTCTCGGCCCTGCATCAGCTCTAGCATTTTTTTGGTATCTTGCTTTTGTTAATTGTCATCCTCCTCCTCTTTTGTGAGTTTGAATTCTTTTCCCCTAATTTTTAGAATGAGTTGAGGAGGCAGCCCATCTATGCTCAGTATACATATTTAATAGGAAAACTGTCATCTCTCAATTTTCTGGTGTCTTCACTTTTCAAAAACTAAAGATTTTTTTTTCATTGCCAAATGTGATATTCTTTTTCCTTTATGGGTTTTGTGCCACATTTAGAATTATAACATTATAAAAATAAACCAGTAGTTTTATAGTTTAAGGGGATTACATTTTGATTACAACTATGGTGCATTAATTGGACATTATTCAGTTGTTAAAAATGTACTGGATGTATAATATAGACGTGCATTTTCCCCCACTTTTATTGAGAAATAATTGTACATCACTGTATAAACTTAAGGCGTTCGGGATGATGGTTTGATTTACATGTGTTGTGAAATGATTATCGCGATAGATTCAGTTAACTCCATCATCTCATGTAGATAAAATATAAAGGAAGAAAGAAGAAAAAAAGAAAAAAATGTCCTCTTATGATCTTGAGATTTACTTTCTTCACAACTTTCTGTATATCATACAGCAGTGTTAGCTGTAGTCATCATATTGTATAGAAGTACATTTTGGGATAAAAGTGGTGAAGATGGGTCTCTGCCAGTCCCCAAATCAGTGCAGATTAATGATAGCAGAAGTTATTTTCAGAAGCAGAGATTAGTTTTTCTTATACTATGAAATTCAAACTTGCTTTGAAATTGAATCATGGATGAAGTTATAGACAGATGATGTGGGACTAAACTGTGAAACCCTTCTAGTACAAGACAAACCCTTCTTAGGCCAAATTTTGTGTTATGGTAGCTAAAATATAAGGAATTCTAATGTACCTTTGCTTTGAGGAGGTAAATGAACCAATAGTGCCTTTTTAGTTCCATTATTTAGCCTGTTTTTCTCATGTCTGCTGATGTGATCTTCCCCCAACCCCCAGATAAACAGGGGTCACATGACAACGGAAGCTAAGAGAGCTGCAAAGATGGAGAAGAAGATGAAAATTTTGCTTGGGGGTTACCAGTCTCGTGCTATGGGGCTCATGAAACAGTTGAATGACTTATGGGACCAAATTGAGCAGGCTCATTTGGAGTTACGCACTTTTGAAGAACTCAAGAAACATGAAGATTCTGCTATTCCCCGGAGGCTAGAGGTAACATTATTGCCTTGCAGCATTGCTTCAAAAGAGAACTGCAAAGAATTACCAGGGCTTTCCTGTTTTTTCTTTTTCCTGTGCAGACTATCTCTGCAGTTGATACTGTCTGGCTTTTTTCAATGAGAGCCTGAAGTTTTTGACTTATCTAGAGTTGTCTGTGTGTAGATGGATAGACCAGGCCAATGGTGGATACAGTGGCTTTTCCTTTACTAATTTTCTGGTTTGTATATCTATACACTGTGAAATAGAATAAGTAAGCCTTGTGATTTGTCCCCCTGAAGCTTAATTGTATCCCATTCTTCTAGCTCTCTGACGTACATTAAACCAGTGTCTGTTTTGTAATTTAGGATGCTGGGAGTATAGCTGGTCATTCTCAAGCATGAAATTCCTTTGGCTAGATTTGGTTTATTTCTCAAGTGTGCATGATAGTCACACTTGGGCAGTCAGGGCTTAATAGAAGTGCATTCGTGGGTATTGATAGGACGACAGTGGCTTGTTTATTTGACACGGCAGCGGAGATTTTATAAGATTTTGCAAGATTTACAAATGGTAGTCATTTGACCAGAGAATGGTTGCAGTACTTGTTTTACAGCACAAGTAGTTGCTATTTCTTGTTTCTCTGGGGGAATACCTAGCCCTTAAGAGTCATGACGTAGCTCAGCTATTTGTAAGATGATAAAGTATCATAAGATATTTTTAATTTTCAGTGTGCTTACATATGAAATAATTATTTAATATTTTTGTCTCTTCAAGTGTCTAAAAGAAGATGTTCAGCGACAACAGGAAAGAGAAAAAGAACTTCAGCATAGATATGCTGACTTGCTGCTGGAGAAAGAGACTTTAAAGTCCAAATTCTGAAGCATAGTTTATATTCTGTCACAAGATGAATTAATTGCTGGTTTTCATACTCTGGAAGGCTGAAACTGATGATTATCTTCATTGACAAATTTACCCACAATCTGTGGTTTTTCAGTTGTTTGTTTTAAATGATATCAATCTTACACAGTCTATGTATAAAGACTTTAACTCCACAGGACATTTTAGGGTTTAAATTATTAAGATGATCATTCTTTTAGCAGTGTCATATTTGCAAAATTTTTTTAGTTTTGGCCTTTAATTTTAAAAGCCTGATTTTAAAGTGCTGCCTGTGAGTAAACTCTTGAATAAAAACAAAATGTAAAAAATTGAGAGTGTAGCCTTTTGTTTGAAGTAATTAGATACTTAGAATGCCCACAAACCAGCAAGTATGTACTCTGTGTCATATTTAATGAGTAACTCTTGGGTAATCAAAATGGTGATCCAGTATTTTAATTCCTTAAGAGGAGTCCTTTTGTGGCTTTGTTAGTTTTAGCATAGAGTATTCATTTCTCAGTACACTGACAAGATTAACATTTTAACACCTCAGTTTTTTTGTTTTTTTTTTTTTTTTAGTATAACTTTAGGGAAGGTCTCTTCTCTGCCCAGCTACTCACACAGTTATGGATTAGGACTCAAAAGATTTAATTTTTATCAACCTGTTCTTTTCTTGTAAATGTCTTTTTGATAAAGGCATGTTAAAGATTAATTTCAGTAAGACTGTTGGAACTTTTTTAAAGCTTGGTGTTTATCTTAACAAGTTCATTACACAAGTGTAGAATTTGGGGAATGGGTAGGAGTGGGAAGACCTGACTTTATAATTCACATGAAATTATTTGGGACAGTTATTAATTGGCTACAAGTTTGGTATAGACCAACAGTATGTTGGACTAACCAGGCAGATGTCCTAATCTTAAGAATCCTAGGGACTAAAAGGAGGTAAGGAAGGATTGATTCATTCATTCATCAGATATTTATTAACTATATACCGGGTGTCAGACTCGTGGAGATAGAACAATGAGTAAAATAGGCATGACTCCTGTTTTGTGGTGCTTATGGCCTGTTGGGGATTTTAGGTGATTAAAAATCAGGTGTTTATCGAGTGACTCTTCGTATGTGCCAGGCACTTAGTTAAGTGTTGGAGATAAACTCTCACGGAGATGACAGTAGGAGGAGGAGATACTCCGTATACCAGGAAAAGTATCAGATCATGAACTTAGATTCTATGGAGGGAATTAAAATAGGGTAATGGGAGATAGTGACTGGGTGGCTACTTTAGGCTGGATGATCAAAAGAGTCTTTGAGGAGGTAACTTTTAAGATAAGATGTGATTAACATCTTAGAAGGAGCTATTCTTGTGGGACTCAAGGAAGAGCAATACCAGCAGAGTGAAGAACAAGCACAAAGCCCCTTTGGAGTGTTTGAGGAATAGAAAAGATGACCATGTGGCTGGAATGTCAAGAATAGCGTTTGAGTAAGGCCTACATGAATAGGGGCATATTTATAAGGCCTTGGTAAGAAATTTAGATTTTATTCTATTATGGGAAGCTATGAGAAGATTCTGAGCAAAGGAATGACATGGTTAGATTTGGTTTAGAGAAATATCCTGTGGTCATACTGCATAATGTCTCACTGGCTGAAGACAGGGAAGCCGGTTAGTTGAGGAGCATAAAGTGGTAATCAGGCAAACAGCCATACTGACTCAAACCAGGATAGAGGCAGTCCTGGTGGGGACAGGTGCAAAAATTTAAGTGGTAATAATTCTGTGGTCTCATTGGACTATATATTTTTCTAGTATCTAGCCGCTTAATTCTAGTACTTGTTTCAGTAATTTCACATGGTTTTCTAGGGAACACTTTGATATCATCTATGAATAATGATAATGTTTCTTCTAGTAGTTTAATTTTTGTTGCATGTTTTGTTGGCAGAAATGTTTAGAAGAGTGTTAAATAAGAATGCTGATGGTAGACGTTTTATTTTTGATTTTAATGGGAATGTCCATAGTATTTTACTTTTAGGCTGGCTGTTTTGAGTTCTTTATCTAGAAAGGAAGTACCCCTCCACTTTTAGTTTTTAAAGAACCTGAATTAGGGGCGACTGGGTGGCTCAGTCGTTAAGCTTCTGCCTTCGGCTCAGGTCATGATCCCAGGGTCCTGGGATCGAGCCCTGCATCGGGCTCCCTGCTTGGGCGGGAAGCCTGCTTCTCCCTCTCCCACTCCCTGTGCTTGTGTTCCTACTCTCGCTGTGTCTCTGTGAAATAAATAGATAAAATCTTTAAAAAAAATAAAAATAAATAATCTGAATTAGGATCGGCTCTGGAATTTTGTCACACATGCTTTTTGGATATCTCTTAAGATTATCAGATGGTTTTTTTCCATTTAATTTGTTGATGACATATCAATAGATTTTCCAATGTTAAACCGTCTTTGAATGCCTGGAATCAGGTAGATTAATTACAAAAATTTTTTTTTTAAGAGGCGCCTGGGAGGCTCAGTCGTTAAGCATCTGCCTTCGGCTCAGGTCATGGTCCCAGGGTCCTGGGATCGAGCCCTGCATTGGGCTCTCCCTGCTCCGTGGGGAGCCTGCTTCTCCCTCTCCCACTCCCCCTGCGTGTGTTGTCTCTCTCGCTGTGTCTCTCTCTGTCAAATAAATAAATAAATAAAAAATCTTTAAAAAAAAAATTTTTTTTAAGATTTACATTTTACTTGCATCTTATGTAGACTTGAATGATACGGATTTAAAATAGTTGATCTTGGGGCTCCTGGGTGGCTCAGTCTTTAAGCGGCTGCCTTCGGCTCAGGTCATGGTCCCAGTGTTCTGGGATCGAGCCCCGCATCGGGCTCCCTGCTCCGCAGGAAGCCTGCTTCTCGCTCTCCCTCTGCTTGTGTTCCCTCTCTCGCTGTCTCTGTCAGATAAATAAATAAAATCTAAAAATAAATAAATAAATAAAATAGTTGATCTAACAATACTCACTTTGTTTTCAAAATTTGAAGTAATGCACATACTTACAGCCTACAAAATGACCAAGGTTTGCATAATTTCAAAATTGGCAGTCTCAGTGCATTGTAGATGTATGGCTCACGCTTTTGCCATATAGCAGTGCAGCTTTAATTGGTAAACAGCTCTGCATCATCTTTGTTAGTACCCTGTAAAGCCCAGGGTTCTTTACCAGCAGCACTCTGAGAGCGATTTTGGTAACTTTTCACATTCACATTTATCTTATTTTTCATTAACTGGTTGTGTTGAAAAGCATGTTTAAGTCTCAGTAACTTTGGGACAGAAATTAAATATGATACAGAGCCCCCCCCAAAAAAAACCCACCAGAAGGAGTGAGATCTCATCTTTGAAATATTAGAAATAATGCTGAGATAAGAAAATTCAGTCTCCAGAGAAAAAATACCTAACAGCACGTGTAGATTTCTGCTGTCCAACCATTTTATCCTCACTATTTTCACATCTGTTTTTCTGGGAACCTTAGTTGTGAAGTACGTGATGTCCTGCAATGCATTTCTCCTAAAATGTGGCTGCCCTATTGGCCCTGTAAACTTTGATTTGCTAATAGGTTATTTAGGAAAATTGCATTTTTTACGTAAGTGAATTTAGTCTTTTGGGCTGTTAGCTCTTTTTTTTTTTTTTATAAGTAGGCTCCACACCTAGTGTGGAGCCCAAAGCAGAGCTTGAACTCACAACCCTGAGGTCAAGACCTAAGCTGAGATCAAGAGTTGTATGCTCACCGTACTGAGTCACCTAGGCGCCCCAGTCCAATTTCTGACATGGAGATTTTGCTAGCTGTATAAGGTGAATAGGATAACTATGTATATTTTTCTTTGCATCAAGCAGTTATTCATTGGAGGGATTTGTTCCATTAAAGATTGAAGGATTGAGCTGAGAAACCTTTGAATTGAGAGCCCTTTTGGGAAGTAATTTCTTGACAACAGTTTCTTCTGTGACTATGTTATCTGTTTTTAAATTGAAGTATCTTTAAATTTGATTTTAAAATTTTGTTTTAAAATGTATTTCTCCTTTGGTGTTTGTTATTTGCTAAATTTAAGTAATTTATACTTTTCCAGAAAACTTAATTTTGTTGAAATTTTACACATTTATTTGCAGAGAGTTTTAATAGAGAGTAAGAAATCTCCTATATTAAGTTTGTTACTTCTAAGTTACAAGGAATTGACCTTAATTTTACCATTTCCTATTTTTTCCTTGATTTGACTTCGCTACAGGTCATCTTTTTTCCCTTCAAAAAAAACCCAGTGTTTGGATTTATCACTTGTCATTTGTTTTAAAATATATTAATGTCTCATTTTATGTGTATTTCTTTTGTTTTCTGTAGAGTTTCTTGCCCTGTAACTTTTTGAGTCTGATGTTTATTTTTTGTTTTTATTTGTATACAAATGAAGGGTTTTGGTTATCTCTAATTTCAGATACGTTTACATCCCAGCTACATTGATGTGTCTTGTTTTCTAAGTGGTTTATCATTGTGTTTTAAATTTTTGGTTAAATAAATTTCTGTGTGGTTGGCTTTTTTCTTTTTTAATTGTTGCTCCTTGTAGCATTTTTACCTTGTAGCAAGGAAATACGGCTTATGTAGTTTCTGCTTTTTAGGACTGAGGTTTTGGAGCCCAGCATTTAAAAAAAACGTTTTATGGATGTTTTAAATGAAGCTTTATTTAGTTCATGTGGGACAGAGGTGAACATGTATTCAACCACTTTAATTATATTATTCAAATTTTATTTTCTTATCTTGGGGTGTAAACTACCATAGACTAAATGTTGTCTTAAAGTCTTCTAGATCTTTTTCTCAATTTCAGCTTGTCTAGAGCTTTTGTTTCATATATTTTGATACTGTTGTTTAGTATGTAAATTCTTGTGTCTGTTAGGGGTCATTCATAAAAGACTTGCTAGTCTATAAAGTTACTCCTTTTCTCCTTTATACTTTTACTTTCAAATTAACCTCTTTGAGATTGGAATATTCTTTTTTGTTTATATTTGCTTGATAAGTTGTCTTTTTTTTTTTTAACTTCTATATAATTTTTTGTTGTCTCTAAATAGCATGTCTTGGGGCGCCTGGGTGGCTCAGTTGGTTAAGCAACTGCCTTCGGCTCAGGTCATGATCCTGGAGTCCCGGGATCGAGTCCCACGTCAGGCTCCCTGCTCAGCAGGGAGTCTGCTTCTCCCTCTGACCCTCCTCCCTCTCATGCTCTCTGTCTCTCATTCTCTCTCTCGCAAATAAATAAAATCTTAAAAAAAAAAAAAAAAATAAATAGCATGTCTTGTTGGATTTTCTATTTTAACCCATTTGGAGAGTTTTTGCAATTTAAGAGGGGAGACGGATAATCCATTTGCTTTTATGTTAATTACTGACTTTGGTCTTCTGTGATCATGTTTTATGCTTTCTCACTGATGCCTCTCATTTCCTAAATGGACTGTAATGTTCTGGGTTTTAATTTTCTTAGTGATTTAGGAAATACGCATTCTCTTTTAAGTTTTACAAATGATGATGGTATCATTTAGGGTTCAGGACCCATGCAAGAGAAAGAAACCATACCAGTAATTTGAACAGGGAAATTTAATATGAAGAATTATTAACTATAACAGGAGATTAACCACTAAGACGGGCAAAGACAACTCTAAAGAATACAGGGCTAGCAGATGTAGAGAGGAACCGTACCTGTAGACTGAGAGAGTACTCAAGTAGGGAACGTTCTTTTTTATGGCTGAATAATACTCTGCGCGCTTGTGCACGCAAGCCTGTGTATGTGTGTGTGCGTGTGACGTTTTTGTTACCTATTCAGCCATTGGTAGATTATCTGAGTTGTTTCCACATCTTGGCTATTGTAAATAATGGTGCATTGAACATGGGGGTGCAAATATCTTTTGGATTCAGTGTCTTCATTTTCTTTAGATAAATACCCAAGAGTGGAACTGCTGAATCATATGGTAGTTCTATTTTTAATTTTTTGATGAAGCTCCGTACTGTTTTTTATAGTGGCTGCACCAGTTTACATTCCTGTGAACGGTGCATGGGGGTTCCCTTCTCTCCGCATCCTCGCTAACACTTAACTATTTCTTATCTTTTTGATTCTAGCCATTCTGACAGGTGTGAGGTGATGTCTTATTGCAGTTTTGATTTGCATTTCCCTGATGATTGATGATGAGCATCTTTTCCTGTACCCTTTGGCCATCTGTATGTCTTTGGAAAAATGTCTATTTAGGGCTTCTGCCCATTTTTAATCAATTGTTTTTTTGCTATTGGGTTGTATGAGTTCTTTATTTATTTTAGATATTAGTGTCCCTTATGAGATACAAGATTTGCAGATATTTTCTCCCATCCAATAGCTTGCGTTTTCATTTTGTTGATGGTTTCATTTGCCGTGCAGAAGCTTTTAAGTTTGATGTAGCCCCACTTGTTTATTTTTGCTCTTGTTGCTTTGGGTGTCAGATTAAAAAATCATCACCAAGACCTATGTCAGGGAGCTTACTGCCTATGTTTCTTCTGGAGTTGTGTGGTTTCAGGTCTTACATTTAAGTCTTTGATCCATTTTGAGTTAGTTTTTGTGTATGGTGTAAGTCAGGGGTCCACTTTCATTCTTTTGCATGTAGCTGCCCAGTTTTCCCAGCACCATTCATTGAGGAGACTGTGCTTTCCCCACTGTATATTTTTGGTTCCTTTGTTGCAGATTAATTAGCCATATATGCATGGGTTTATTTCTGGGCTCTATCCTGTTCCGTTGATGTGTGTGTCTGTTTTTATGCCAACACCATACTGTTGTACTTACTATAGCTTCGTAATAGAGTTAGAAATCAGGGAGTGTGATGCCTTCGGTAAATAATGGGCAGATATGACTCACATAAAAGATTTTTGGGGTCCTCAATTTTTAAAAGTTTAAAGGGATCCTGAGATGCCCCGAAATTGAGAACTGCCAGTTTAGATTAAACTGGCTGGATATAAGAAACATCTTGTGCTCAGAGAATCCACAGCTGTCTGTGGTCTTTGATCAGAAGTGTGGTGCTGAGAGAGGCTGGTGGTGGCTGTGTCCTGCATGTGCGGTGTGGCACTGTCCTGTCTTTACTCTCTCATTCTTGGATTCTGATGCTTTTCAACTTATTTTTTTTTTTTTAAGATTTTATTTATTTATTTGAGAGAGAGACTGAGATAGAGAGAGCATGAGAGGGGGGAGGGTCAGAGGGAGAAGCAGACCCCCCGCTGAGCAGGGAGCCCGATGTGGGACTCGATCCCGGGACTCCAGGATCATGACCTGAGCCGAAGGCAGCCGCTTAACTGACTGAGCCACCCAGGCGCCCCAGATTTTGTTGTTTTTATTGTTCTTTTTCCTGTCTTGATATTAGGTGAGCAAAATAGCAGTTAGTGCAATAAAAATCTCTTTTGCAGATGGGGTGACTGAAATCTCATGAGGGGAAGAGATTTGCTCAAATAGTGAAATTGATGCTCAAAGCAAGTCCAGGCCTTGTTTCTCCACTGTAGCCAGTCACCATGGGATCTGAAATCTCAAACACAATGAATCCAAGGACACGTGTTCATTTTTATTTTTTATTTTTTTAAAATATTTTTTTATTTATTTGACGGAGACATAGCGAGAGAGGGAACACAAGCAGTGGGCGGTGGGAGAGGGAGAAGCAGGCTTCCCGCAGAGCAGGGAGCCCAATGCGGGGCTCGATCCCAGGACCCTGGGATCATGACCTGAGCCGAAGGCAGACGCTTAATGACTGAGCCACCCAGGCACCCCAGGACACTTGTTCATTTTTAAATAAAATAACCGCTTATATTACTGTATCTAATAAACTTGAGGGACTCCTCTCCCTGAACACTGGCATAAACTGAAGGTTTGAAGAAATCCATCTTTTTGAATAATTAAAAAATGCACCTTTCATGAATAGTCACGAATAATTATGGAGGTTCTTTCTATATCTTGGGAGTATATCTTGTACTGATTCCCCTTGAAACTGATTTCATGGAAGAGCAATTGTCATCCTTTCCCACCACCATCACTTGATGTTCTGCCATGTCCCTCCGTGCAGAGAACAGTTGGCGGAATATACTTGAAGATTGTCCTGGTATAATGAAGTGGCCAAAAAGCAGAAGTTGGACCAGATTTTAGAAGCAATGCATATGGCTTGCCCTCTAGGCATATTACGGGCTAATTGGAAGATTATACATATAATTTATTCTCTGCTTCCAGAATAGCCCTTGCAGGGAAACAATATTTTTTTTAAAAGATTTTATTTGTCAGAGAGAGCGAGCAAGCGCACAAGCGGGGAGCGACAGGCAGAGGGAGAAGCAGGCTCCCCGCTGAGCAAGGAGCCCCATGTGGGGCTCGATCCCAGTACCCTGGGATCATGACCTGAGCTGAAGGCAGACACCCAACCGACTGAGCCACCCAGGTGTCCCGGAAACTTAATATTTGATGGAGAGTAGAACTGTTCAAAATATGTGGGTGTTGGTTACTTCATTACTCCCAAGGAGAATTCCCTACTCCCAGTTGATTAGGTCTGCCAACTATAGTTTTATGTTTAAATTCTTTACTTGAGGAAGGAGATGTCAAGAAAACTTGCCCAGATTCAGGATTTGCTTGCTTGAGAAATCTACAAGTTTTTTAAAATTTAATTTTATTTAATTTTATTATGTTAATCACATTACATCCTTAGTTTTTTTTAAAATTTTTTATTATGTTAATCACCATACATTACATCATTAGTTTTTAATGTAGTGTTCCATGATTTCATTGTTTGCGTATAACACCCAGTGCTCCATGCAGAATGTGCCCTCTTTAATACCCATCACCAGGCTACCCCATCCCCCTACCCCCTTCCCCTCTAGAACCCACAGTTTGTTTCTCAGAGTCCATAGTCTCTCATGGTTCTTCTCCCCCTCCGATTTCCCCCCCTTCATTTTTCCCTTCCTACTATCTTCTTCTTCTTTTTTTTTTTTTAAAACATATATTGTATTATTTGTTTCAGAGGTACAGGTCTGTGATTCAACAGTCTTACACAATTCACAGCGCTCACCTACAAGTTTTTAACATCCATGGAAGTGTCCAGTGTCTGCCCTCCAAAGTTAGAATTGGTTCATAAAATCTGGTAGAGGAAGAAGAGGATGGCAGCCATGTTTTAATTTGGTATTTGGTTATAGGAACTGAGGCCTGGCAGTGAGCCACTTCTTTTCTGCTTGATGAGTTAAGAAGAGCCTGTGTGAATGAATGGCTTCTGAATACTACAGGATAGCACCTTGGAGAATTGGGCTCAGAGGGAAGGCGGGGGTCTTAGCAGTGATGAGCCTGCAGATGGGGACCAGGTGCTAAGCCAGAGGGATTTGGGGGCAGTCAACCAGCAGTAGCTGTCATTTTCACAGGGGGAGGGGCTGGAACTAGAGGGTGGGACTAGGGAGAATCATGACAGATTCTTACATGGAATTAACTTCCATGTCACCTGTTTGGTTTTCTGCTATTGCTTTGATGATAATCAAGTATTTTGTTCTTGCCTTTAATAGTCAGTTCTGGAGTGACATGCTTGTTAGGA